AAATTTGTGAAATTTAGCCAATAGGATCATACCAATTCAGCTCCACTTTCAAAAAAATATGCTGCCCGTTAATTGATTAATTAATTAATATTAACAATACACAGCCAGACTAGTTGTGTGTATTATAGCCAATAAAAAGCCAACATTGGCATTGGCTGGAATAGGACATAGAAGGCGCTATTTCGTTTTTTTCAATGGCTGGTTAAATTTTCGAACGGCACTTGTGCTGGTACACACATATTAGAAATGGTTATATTTATGGATATTTCAGCCGTCTCTGAACTGATTTTGTCCTAAAAAAAAATGTTTTTGTCATTTAAATCGTGTGTTCTTTCTAATTCGATACTCGGTTCTTTATTATCTCACAATTTTGTTGTGGAGCGCCCTCTGCAACAGAACTCAACTATCCCTTTAAGTCTCTTGTTGTACTAAATTGATTTATTTACTTTGTATTCTTCCTGATCCCCTTGATTCTTTTCTGAATTTCAGAGAGTAGTACTCTTTAAATGTGTATGGAGTATTAAATAGGGAGGACAATGCGTTACTTGAATTTAAAATTGGAGGACTCAAAAAAATGCCCCATCTATTATCTTTTACCCGTGCAATGAAAAGTTACTTTGATAAAGAGATACTTTGATCAAGGAAAGAAAAGTAAATGGAAAATGTTTTTTGCTCATTCTCTGAGAAATAAGGGAGACGATATATTTTTAGCGGCAATCTCCGCTCCGTTCAATAAATACACAGATCATTTCTCGATTGATTGCATTGAGTCATTACAATTTCTACAACCTAAAGCTAAAATTAGGGAGATTATTTCCCAATCACTTCGCCTAAAATCTCATATACTGGTAGACCGAAAATCTCTCAATATTGGATGTTTCAATTCTGATATGATATATGTTAAGGATATGTTCCTCATTGAAAGTCGAATGAGTTTTCTGTCAGGTTCATTTATGTTATACTATTAAGTTTTCCGCCTAACCTAGTAACTGGAAAATATTCTGAAACATGGACAATTTGAAAAGGAAAGTTCTTTGATAAATTGCGTAGATACTTTATTGAACGATTTCCGTAAAATTTTAAAATTATCAGCAAATATCTCAGAAAAAAAAATAACCGGATAAATGAATAATGAAATGAAAATTTTCCAATTTTAATTATAACTTATTCATGGAAATATTGCAACACAAAGTTTTCTTTACAAAATAAGTGTAAGTACTTCTTCAATGTGTAGTTTTTGTAAAAATCATGAACAGAAGTTAGTTTATTTATTTCTAAATTGTGAAAAAGTACGAACTTTTTGGAATGTTACATTGTTATGGTTAAAACAAAAACATATACGAAATGTTTTGTTTACAGATGGCGATTTTTTTTTTTAAATGTTGTACTCTTATAACCAATCATTTCTATTTTGTCAATACAGTTATTATTTTTGCAAAATATTGTATATTTACTTGTAAAACATTATTCCACCATTTTTTTTTCTACGGGCTCCTAAACAGTTAGAAAATATGGAACGTATAATTGCTTTAAAAAAAAATCGACTCGATCTTCATAATAAGAATTGGCGGATATATGTTGTTAAGTAATTTTAGTTGATGATTTAACGAGTAGATTATATTTTATTATAATCATCATACTAAGCATCTTGCTCGACGATTGGTCAAAAGTTAATCACTTGATGACACATAGTTTCGCCCACCATTGATGGGAGAAGAAAAGTTCGTTACACTAGGGAACTATCTTCAGTGAAAGTGCGTTGCACTGTGTACTATCTTCAACGCAGCAAGCGACCACGTCCAACCGCGGTGATGTGGCGCGAATTACAAATTTAATGTTATAAATTGCTTTTAAATACATACGTATGTACTGCATGTATAGTACGTATCGTACACTCGTACACTGTGGTAGGCCCTACCAGTGAATATTACCAACGTGGAATATAACCAACAACAAAATCACCCTGTGGTTTCAGGCGAAGGCAAACTATCACTTCCTTGGAAATCTGAATGTATACGCTATCTTTCCTCAGATTCGCTTCGGAAAGAAAGCTACATCCAGATCGCCTCGGAAGTGATAGTTTGTCCCTTCACCTTCACCAACGGTAATTATTTGCTCACTATTCATTGTCTAAACGAAAACATTATTGTTATCTATGAGAACTGTTTCAATTAAAAACTTCTTTTTTTTTAAGAATTAAAAAAAAAATGCTTCAGATAGTCGTTTTAGAGTAACATCTTACAAGTTTCGCGTGTGTCTGTTTTAATGCATCAAATTAAGTTATTTATTGTCATATTTGCATCAATACAACTATTCCATAATCTTCATTTATCTCAGGCATGTACAGTCAGACCATGGACCTATTACGGATGGACATTCATGGTTTTCTTAACTAATTCATTGTGATTGTCTCCGTCAATGTCGTCTCAATAACATTCCGTACATGTTTCTTCCCTTTTGTCGCATGATGGTCGCCGGCAAAAAGCCGGGACAGAATCAAGATAGTGATTTTATACATGTTAATCTACATGTGCAGAAGATAATTACTCGCCTAAATCATGGAAAATAGATGTGCAGTTCTGGCTTATAATCGGAAATTGTTGTTCCGTGTACTGTACATGTATTTTTTTTTGAAAAACATGTTGATATTACCAGATAGAGGTTATTTTTGGATTTTGGGGTTGTGATTTAAAATCCCGTTTCCCCCTATTTCCTCATAATATTCCAGAGTTACAACGCACAGGGCTTATAAAGATCATGGCCTTCTAACTGTTTTATAAGGTCATGGGTGTGTGCGAAAGTGTGCGAATCAGTAATAATACATTTCATATCACCAAAATAGTCTGCTTTTCAACTTTGCTGCTCCCCATTGGGGATACTTTCATTGAAGAAACACTCTTACAGAGCACACCATCCAAACAAAACCCAAGAGAGGGAAACTGCTCCTTTGTCAATGACCAAAAATGCTTACGCAGTCGTTATTGTTAAAACAGCTGAATGTTCTCATTAAGATGCACATAATCAGAAGGCGGCGACTATCATTGGATCAAAGAAAGAATCACGTTGAATGTCCATCCGTAATAGGTCCATGGTCAGACACAACTTCTGAAAACTGAGTGCAGGAAAATACTTTGAAAACAGGAAGTAACTCTCAATGAATAAAGCGCCCCCCCCCCCCAATGTTTAGTGCAAGCCAGAGTTAACAGAAGACATGAGGACAATCTTTCGAAGTCAACCTAGTGTTCATGAAGCTTTGTTTAAAATAATGCTGTTGTTAAATTATCTGAAAAATCGATGAAGAATCATTCCTGTAATGATCGTTCCAAATGGCAGATAAATGTATAAATCTTCTCAAAAATTTCTTGAGCAATCTTTATGGTTCTTTAGAGTAATCTATAAGTTCGTAGAAGATTTTAACTTTATCTATCAATATTATGCCTTATTGTTAGAATCGTTCCATAAAAAAATATGCAAAGAAAACTATTCTAACTGTATTGGCAAGAGTCAATATACCGTGTTTGTGTTCTTAAATCATAAACAATTGGAAAAAAAACTAGGTTACAAGGTGTAAAAATTAACCTTTGTAAGCATTGTAAATTATTAACAACGTATGCAAACAATGCATAATTAGTGACCGACCTACGCACCATATAGAAATTAACATAACTGTCGTGTCATTGTAATGAATTATCTTTATACGTGGAATATCTGTGCGTGCCATATACGTATCCAGTATTAGTATGTCCACAGTTTAATGATGAAGTAGTGGTGTGGTGGTATAGTGGTTCATTCATTTGAACCTTAATGCAAGGGTTGAGGGTTCGAATCACGGTCAAGCTAAGAGCAATAATCCATATTTGTCGCCCTAAACCCAGGTGTAAATGGGTACTTGTCAATTGCTGATGAAGTATTACGTGCAGGGCCATCAGGAAGAACATTGAAACTGATGAGGGTTCTCTGGAAAAAAAGAAAATTATTTATTTTTTGAAAGATGGTTGGTAGGCGGTAGAGTGAAGGAATAATCTTAGTAGGTTAAAAAAGCAGAATTGAGTAATTGAGACTCCCCTCTGTTTCTCTCTCTCTCTCTATATCTGTCAATGAACTCAAACTAGCTAATATAGATCGTTAGTACCCGATATGTAACATGGGAGGGGGTACCTGGCCCTAACTAGCAACGAATTTCGATACTCCTTTTTATTATGAGCCCCTACAAAAACTTTGAAATAGGCAAATTAACAGCTGCAACATGATAAAACGATGATTGCGTTATATATTAACACTGTAAACCGATCATTGCCATGTATTGACTGGAGATGCGAAGGTCGAGGGTTCGAATCCCGACACGGCACTAATATCCTATGGCAAGATATTAACCTGCATTTGCTACTCTCCACCCAGGTGTCAAATGGGTACCCGGTAGGATGCGGCCGTCATTGTTGGTCAAACAGCTAGTGAGCGTCAAGTAACGCCCGGCTGGAATGCTCCCCAGGGAGTGGAGATTGTGCACACAGTGTGTGCGGGCAAGCACTGAATCCAATGACCGGGGTAATAATATATTTGTAAAGCGCTTAGAGGTATTTGTATTAAGCGCTAAATAAAAATTAAATATTATTATTATTATTATTATTATTAGTCTGACAAGTATAAAACTACATTTGCTTTCATCCCTCGCTAATACATTGGGCCTACATGCGTAAAGTTAGGCATCCCACAACAACAACAACAACAACGACAACAACAATGTCAACCATTCAACCCTTTCCAGTCTCACCTGAAAATATGAATTCTACGTCATTGGTAGTTTCGATGCAGACGTGTATGGTTGTTCCAATGTCAAGTACATCGACGAGATAGCATTGTTTCATTTTGGGGTGAGACGCAAGAACGTCAACTAGATAAGAATATTAATTATGACGTTTCTCTCCTGATACTCGTCGGTAGGAGTGTGTATAAAGAGCGCAGTACCATCAAACAGAGGACATTTACTCGGTGAAGGACACGTTCGTTAGGCTCATAAAGATTCAAATCGGAGGCTGTGAAAAACAAAAGTAGTCATCTTTAAAACACTTTATAATAAATATTACTTCAAGTGAACAGTTTGGTGGATTTGGACCTATCTGTAACTCTAGACTCGGGATAGCTTATATTTGTGAAAAAAAAGAGATTTGACCAGAACTGAAGAAGTGATAGCAATGGCCGGTAAGCTATATAGTGTCTTGATCATTTTAGATTAGCATCGTGAATTATTATTACACATGTGTATTAACTATTTTTTTCTTGGAACATTTGTATATATTGTGCAATCGCGAACCATAGCCATTCATATCAACATGTATTCTTTGAATGTAATAAGGTAAAGGAAGTCTGGGGGGATGTGCAGATAGACTTAATTTACCAATTCTGAAGAAATTATCCTGGAACGAAATTTATATAGGAATAGATGACAGTGCTTAAAAACAGAGCAATTATTGAACCACATTTTGATTTCGATTAAATTTATGATGTTCAACAGTAGAGAGAAGGGAAACCCTCCAAAAGCAATAGAAATAGAATATAGATTATTGAAAAATAGAAATGAAGAGAAAAACTTTTATTGGAAAGAGACACCCTTTCAATTCATTTAAGGGAATGGGAAGCCTTGGAAAGTTTAGAATAAATGTTTTCTGTTTTTAATTTTTCTCAATATACAACTTTTAGACCCTCCTCTCTTCTCTACCCTTGCTTCTTTTTTTTCTTCTATCTTCTTCTTTTCTTCTTTTCTTTTTCTTTTTCTTTTGTTTGTTTGTTCGTTCTATGTTGGTGTGTGTTTTGTATACTGTTGTACTTTATGCGGTTATGTGTTATAATATTGTGTGGGGCGGGGGTAGTAGGTGTTCTCTAGCTTTTTTTCTTTTTCTTTTTATAATTTTGTTGTGTTATATCATAACCCTTCTTTTTTTCTCTGAAGGAAATTTAACAGGAAAACAAAATGTGGGAAAGAAAAGAAATAATTTGAAATTTATACGCAAACTGGTCAAAGAAAAAAGTACAAACTTCATTTGCAATTTGTTTAAATTGTGAAAATATGATTTTGTTATGATAATATTTTTCATCTGTAAATGTGTAACTTTCTTTGTAACCTTGTATTAAAATGTAAACGTTAACTTGCAAATTTATTTAGACCTATGTGAAGATTATTTTGTTATTTTGTATACAATGTTATAAATGATAAGAGAAATGAATAAAAACCTATGATTTTTTCATTTTTTTAAATAGCCAGTTTAGGAATCAACAGATGAAATGTTGACAGCTTGTAACATGGACAGTCCCTACGAGGAAAGCCGCAAATAAACCAATCAAATTATTATCAGATTAATATCACGAATCACTATTATAATTGTATATTTACTTTATCAAGTTGGTATTGGGAGGGGATAGTTTTCAAACGTAAAAAATCCTGGGTATCAATCGAAAAGATTAATTTTAATGTAAATTGATTTGTTTTTATTTAATCATGGTATATTACAAAATAAATTGGCAGACAATGATTGAATTGGAATAGTTTAAACATATTTGTAGCTTACCCCCAGTAAATAAGATCGATTGATCGATCTGTAATTGAAAAACAAGTCAGGAAAAATATTGGAACCAGCGGGATTTGAACCTGCCATCTACTGCTTGCCGGGCAGCGACTCTACCACCAGGCCATCACTGGTCATCATATGTTTAAACTATTGAAATTTCTCCCAGGAAGCATTACATTTATTAAAAAATGATTGAATTGTTCACACTTTAGAAGCAAAATTTAAAAATACATAGAATGAAATATTGCAAGTGGTAAACCAATAATGCAGAGATTTTAATAAGGTATTTCAAAGGTGCTGATTTTTGTTTGTTTGGTTTTGTAGATTTAGGTTAGATGGAAATCTTTATACAATATTTCTACAAACAGTATAATCTAAATTTAACGGACGTTTTGTTTTTTTATGTCACCCCTTTCTCTTTCTGTCCCTCTCCTCTTCCTTCTATCTGAAATGTAGAAACCAAAGTTAACCCGTACGACCCATCTACCGATGGCACCAACGGGGCGTACGTCCCGCCTACCAACCCGACATACGTCCCGCCTGCGACCAACGCGGCATATGGCAATGCGGCATACGGCAATGCGGCATACGGCAACGCAGCATACGGCAACGCAGCTTATCCCGCAGGGCCAACCGCTCCGATGAATGGAGATGCTCCCCCGTCATATAGTTCTGCTCCAATGGTACAAACAATGACTGTCGGGGTAGGTAGACATCTTCATACTACACTCCATATATGGATCACATTCGCTCATGTCCTTTCACAAGGCATTGATCTATATACGCGAAAATACATTAATCTACTTTGAATTTTAATACATATAATTTTGCAGTAAGTATATTATGGTCCATTAGACAAGATAACCAAATCTTATTATAAGACGTATAATGACTCATGTCGCAAGCCCCCACCCCAAGAAAAATAAAGTTGGTTTTCAAATTGATACGAGGAGTTGGATGCTTGATTCACGTTCTCAACTTCAATGTAAAGTCAATGTTAGGTTACTGGATAAAAATGTAAAGGATTTATTCTATTTGATACAAATATATAACCCCTTATCGTTTAAAAAAAAAAATGTTATCTAATAACTTCAAAAACTGATACAGTCTTTTCTATTCGTTCAATTTCACCGAGAAACATTTATTTAATGTTCTTATTCTTTTTTTTCGTATTTTGATTTGTATTTTTTATTCTTATATCAAAATTATTTAACGACAATCTAAAGCTCAGGTATATTTGATATCAATTGAATTGATTCACATTTCAAAATATACATTTGATTATCTTTGGTTTAAAACATCATGCTTACAATCTTATAAAGTTTTGTGATTTAAATACTTTGACAATTATATTTTCATTTTGTTTTTATAATAATTGTTATGTATATTTGCTTATTTATGATTTAGTGTCAAGTAACATTTAGTTATTTTATGTTTGGAATGCTACCGACAATCCTTGTTCATATTTATATACACAAAAAAGTATACCCGACTTCGGTAGCTTCTAAATAAAGAGTTATAATCTCATAATCTCAACAATTTATAATGAATTCATTTTCATAATTGTGCTGCCAAGGATGACTGAAGAGCAGGCTTCTTACAAAGTACTGTCGAAACCCTTTTGTACCAACTTTGGGCTTTAGTAATGAATGCGGGTCAAAAGCCAATACGTCTATGTAATCTCATTCCAAAAACAACTGCTCACTTGTTTACATTGAATATCAGGCAGTTGAAAGAAAAAAGGTGCTAATATCAACTCATACCCAAGGAAATGCTTATTACGAGCACAATTCATAATATTCTCTTGGTTAGGATAAATACGATCTTGACTTTATTCGCTTCGCTTGTTTAAGTTAACCTTCTCATCGAGTAGCCTTTATTTGGGATGTTATCTATTTGGTAACGAAAATCTGATGTTTATTATTTGACATTTGTCATTGTATGTGCTATTTTTTGCATTTAGGTTTAGTATCCTTTGAGTTTACATACGTTATTCGAGATAAACACTGTATACTCCTTACGCGTCCGCAGTGGACAAGGGAAGGGAGAAAACTTAGATATCATGAGACAAGAAGTAGGCTGTTTAAAAAAAAAATAAGGTTATTTTTTAGATTGAAACAAGGTTCTGTGAAAGCCTCGATACATTTTAATATTTTAAACCATAAAGCACTGATGCACGAAGCATAATTTTACTTATAAAAATATATAAAACCAAAGAAGCACATGAATATGGCCTTGCCCACATTGGTTCCTTAAAGGCGATTTTGACAACGGTTTTTGAAGAAACCGTTGCTCATTTAGCCGTGGCAGAAATATTGTGAATAGGGTTTCATTGAACAGAAAACAAATTACTCTTCATCATGAAAACAATTTTTAAAGTAATATTGGTTATAACTTCTTAAATCCCCAATGCACTAATTTTAGCTACTTGCGCCCTCTCTTTAGCAGCCAATACCTAATCGGTGACCGTTGGTCCCCAAGGACCCTTCTTTCTTATGTTAATTGAGAGCTGAATAATAAGCACCTGTCAGTGACAACAATTTGGGCTCACTTTTGTCATACGCACTGTAAAATACAGAAGAAAACCAATCCAATCCAATCCACGCCTCTCTTTTCTCTTTCCAGGTACCAGTCACTACCATGATCACCAGACAAGGCCCACCCAGGCCACAGAGTTTCATCATTCATAACGTCATGACGCTGCTCTTCTGCTGTCTTATCTTTGGAATCATCGGTATCGTGAAAGGCTCACAGGTAAAATCATGTCTCATTAATTATTCAAAACTCATGTTTGTCAGACCTGACACCCCCCACCCCCCCCCCCCCCCTCCCCCCCCCCCCCCCTCCCCCCTTTTGGTATCGTGAAAGGCTCACAGGTGAAATCATGTCTCATTAACTATTATCCTGCCACAGGGCTAATCCCCATTGTGCCAAGCCACAAATCCCCCAGTGCCAAGTTTATTTTCCGATGATAGAATTAACGCGATGGGGTACTATCAATAGCACGTGCGAAACACAAGGCACAATACAATGGGCATGAACAATAACTGCTATTACAAATGCTTGCAAGCATGCAAAAAGCAGCGAAGCGGTGGCTTCCTCGCGTGTACAAAGCACTTTAACGGTAGCATGCATGCATCATTATGGCAGGATGTGAGTTAATTATACAGAATTATAAGATGATGACGTGGATCCTAATCAAATGATTGGTTGAAAGCCTACACGTGACTAGGCATATATTTTGCCTAACGCGTAATTGCGCGTAATTTGGGTAATGACCGGTCATTATCCAATGGTAATGACCGATCATTATCAAAATCATGTTAGAAATCATTATTTTTTAAAACAAATAAAACATAATCTTATAAAACAAATAATACACATCATTTTGTTCGGGCATCATTTAGTACCATAACCCACACTTGGTACCTTCAAAACAGTCCAAACATCCTCGGCAATCACCTCGGGCGTGTTAGATTGTTCCAAAGGTACCCCTTGTGGGTAATTCTTACTTATGCCCTCACTGGTGTGTATTATTTGTATACTCATGTATGTCAGACCTGACACCCCCGATCCCCCGCCCCCTCATGGGACGCCAAAATCATTGACCAGACTTTTCATTTCTTTGTTGAAACATTCAAGTAAAACAAATTAAAAAAAACATGCAAAAAATAAAACAATGTACATATCTTCTTAAACGAACGAACAAGCACACATACAAAACAAGAACTTAACACGAGGGAGAAATTATGAGTAAACATGGACAACTAGTTTTTGGATGGGGAAAAACAGAAGCCGAAGTAGCTTATCAGGGTTAATTCCCAAAATTGTTATAATATTACATTTTAAACAATGTAGGCAAAGGGGGGGGGTGTCTGGTCATTGGAGTCTTACCATTACCGGGTTAAGAATTCGTTCTAGAAACCATTGCTCTCAAACACACCGTTTTTTCCTGAAATATTTTCTAAATATAAACATGATGAGAAAGACCAAAGTTCAAAAATAGTATGCAAATACACAGATAAGTTAATTATTATTTGTTTGGATTGTTGTAAAGTGTTATACACTAACGTATTAGGTACTCCGTACATCATATTATCACTTTATTAAATAATAAAATCGAACAAAGGAACATAACATAACCATAGGTCAGGGGCGTACGCATGATTTTTTTCGAGGGGGGGGGGGTTAAAATTTGAAAATCGCGCCGAAAGTTTTGCAACGACTCAGCCAGACGGTGAATAAGCGGGGGGGGGGGGGGGGTAAGGTCACCTTTTTTGGTCACCCTTTAGCATATTTTTTGTCTTCAATTAAGAGGGGGGTTCTCCAATACACACACATATAAAAGGAAATGGAGGGGTTCGACCCCCCCCCCCCTGCCGTAGGTACATATCGAAGAGGAGATGTCGAATCCTAGCCTATCCATAACGTCCTTTGGCAAGATATTAAATCCACATTTGCCACTCTCCACCAAGGTGCCTATGGGTACTTGGCAACTGCTGGGGGGTTTAAGTAAAAGCACAAATTACCAAGCTATTATAATATAGTATTAATGACTGCTTTGAGTGAAATAGTTGTTTTTATACGCTCAAGGGAAGGTTACAATATTGTGCTATTGCCCGAGGTGTGCCGAGGGCAATAGCCCTCGAGCGTTACAAAAACAACTATTTCTCGAATATCAAAGCAGTCATTAATACTTTTATATGCCGGAAAAAAAAAATTCAACATATGACACCACCTTGACCTTTCTCTAGTTTATCTGCACGGTTGTTTTTTACGACTATGACTGAGTGTATCTTTGAGAGTAGACTAGATCTAGATTCTAGTCTAAGGAAGATATTTTTACAATTTTGGGAGTGGGCCGGCCCTGTGGCGAATATGGGGAAAAACCTGCTCTTTCATATGGCACCTCACTTATTGAGTATCACTTTCAGGATCACGAGCAATATTAGTTTGAATCTCATGAGTGCGCAATGCATAGGGATATGTGCAATCCCTATGCATTGCGCACTCATGACAGTCTATGGGAAGGATTTTAGCACTACTACTAGATCTATTGTCAATATATTATGGAGAATTTCACGTACCCTTTTGATGTTCTTGTTGTCAGCAAGTCTTGCATTTGATCATCATCAAGAAGTTTAAATCTTGGGAGAGTTTCTTCAGCCATTTTGCCCGAGAATGCCGTACGTACCGTCGTCTGCTCTGTGCTGTGTTGTATTAAAAAATATCGACCAATTCTTCGCACACGTACGGTATCCTCGATCGCTCAAACCAGTTTTTAACATGTGAACCTATCGGTATTTCACCAAGACTGAACTATTTTCCCGGTAACCATGGTAACTGGAATATTGCAGGAATTTTAGAACTATTATTTTATTACTATTACATGGGTTTGAAATTTTACCGGGAATTTTACAGGAATAGTTAAAGTTTATGAATGCAATTCTGACCAATCAGATGGCTGGATTTCTTAAGTAAGGTATATAATCTTTATTATCATTTTTATCATTAATATTATTTGTATCGTTATTATCATTATTATTATTGTTAACATTATTATTATACTACTATCGTTATTATTATTATTATTAGCATTATTATAACTATTCTCATTATTATCGCTATTATTATCATTACTATTCTCTAGGTTGATAGTTTTTATATTCAAGGCAACTACGAGGCGGCCAATGCAGCGTCTCTCTCAGCCAAGAAATGGTTCAACTGGGGACTGATCTGCGGGGGTGTTATCTACGTTATTGTCGTCATCATGTGGATGTGTATCATCTTCATCTAAAGTGAAGGAAACAAATGAAAAGAGAGATAAAATCAAAGCCCCACTGTCCTACTTGTAGCTACTTGCTCCCTCTATATAGAAAACTTCCTCAATCAGTGCCTGTTGGTCCCCCATGATCCTCTTTTGCTTATGTTAGTTGAGAGCTGAGTTAATGAGATAGCCACCTGTCAGTGACCTCGCTGTGTGGTCTAATCCCTTCTGGCCTAGAAGTGTTGACGGTATTTAAAGGGTGGTATTCTCGAAAGCGGACTATCTTTAGTCGATGGTTTATTCCACGGACTGAGTAAGGAATGCCAAGTGTCCATATGAATATGTTTTTGAATAATTCAATCTGTCACTAAATTTAGAATAAAATGTAATAACATAATTGATAAACAACAATATGACTATTACATAATTAATTTATTATGGTCATTTAGAGACATTTATCAAATTATTCAAAAATATATTCATATGGACACTTGGCATTTCATACATAGTCAGCGGATTAAACCATAGACTAAAGTTAGTCCGCTTTCGAGAATACCACCCAAAATGTATTGATCATGTCTGTTGTAACAAGTAATTACAATCGTTTACTTTTACTTCCTATTCAAATTGGGTCGATTTCTAGGAGGTATTTGGTGTTTGTTCTTCACCTTGCCTTCCTTATTGCATTCATGTGTATTATCTTCATATAAAGTGGAGGAAACATGTAAAAACACATTATTTTTTAGCTTGTTTGGGGGTAAGCACATTTAATGTAAGCACATTTTCCACTCCCTGGGGAGCATTCCAGCTAGTCGCCATTTTACAAGCGCCACTTGCTAATCCAACCACATTAACTTCCGCATCCTACCGGGTACCCATTTTAACACCTGGGTGGAGAGTGGCAAATGTAGATCAATGTCTTGCCAATTGACATTAAGCCGCGGCGGGACTCGAACCGCGAACCTTGTGATCCACAGTCCGGTGACATATCCACTGGACCACGACACCTCTGTTATATCCTAGTACATTCCCGAATGGGACATTCTCCCGACCCATGTTAGAAACGCCCCCAATCTTCGGGGCCTTCAAAGATAACTTCAACATGGGTGAAATAATTGCTAGGGCCCACTTTAAAAATTACGTATGCTCTGCTCAGTCGACTGCGCCTGCATGTTACATCCCAGCTGAGGAGTTTATGTAGTAGCCCACCAGAACTAGAATATGTAATTGCAATCGTTTATTGTTACTTCCTACTTAAATTGGGTACTTGATTTTTATTTTCATTCATATCTTTAGTAATATGTAATTGCCATCGTTTATTGTTACTTTCTATTTAAATTGGGTACTAGATTTCATGGAGGTCTCTGAGGTTTCGGGTTAGTTCTTTACCTTGCCTTCCTCGCTATATTCATGTGTGTTCTTTACATTTAAAGTGGAGGGAATCAATAAAAAGATAGATAAAATGAAAAATGTATTGATCATGTCTTTCATAATATGTAATTGTAATCGCTTGTTATTACTTGTTATTGACATTAGGAGAATTCTAGAAAGTCTTTAGGACTTCGGTGTTTTTGTCTTTAATTGTCTTCCTCATTCTATTCAATATGTATCTCATCTTAATTTAAAGAGAAGGGGAAATAGAAAAGAGAAGAAATTGTAATCGTTTATTGTTACTTCGAAGGCAAAAATTTCCATTTTAATCACCTTGTATTCGTCTATGCTTTGTACTATTGGGTGAAGAACGTAAATTCGTCAATTCAATTTATTGTCTTTAAGCATGTCTTTGATGTTAATATTTATTTCACTTCATGACTTTTGTTAATTTTACACAATTATTGTGTAAAGCAATTAGAACCTTTTGTATTTAGCGCTACAAAAATGCAATTCATATCATCGTTGTTAATAATATTACTGTACATTATCTTTAAGTTTACTGTATATCATTATCATTACCATTATTGTTATCTGATGCTGGTAATAATGATGACGATGGTGTCATAATTTTAATAAATTAATTTGATCAATTATTTTCCGATAATACTTTTGGTATATTCATACTTATTTTGCGCATTTCATTTACCTGAACCTAGACGCATAGCTTATTCATTCAAAATAATTATTTACTTTGTCATTTTTACTTTATACATGATTTCCTAATTTAGTGAATTATCCAATAAACCCTTATTTACTACTACTAATACTACTATCACTACTACTAGTAGTACTACTACAACAACAACTCCTCTTCCTTCTACTATTACTACTATTATTACTACTACAACTACTGCTACTACTACTACCACTATTTCTGACAATGTATTGTTTATTACGTATGAGATACGTGAGAATATGAAGCAGACATGCTGCATATTTATTAAAGAAACCAAGCGAGTTTATTATAATGGTATCATAAAGTCGAGGAAATAAGGTTACTGTATATAATACACTTATTATTGTATATCAATTATATTAAGTCATATGCAATAATATTATAGTCGATATGAAATTTAAGCTTCTACCAAAATTATAATTACATGTTATGATCACCCCCAACCATTGAAAGTGTTATGTATATTATATAGTTATCTATAATAAGGCTTCCAAGTGGTACAATAAATCAGTGTACTTAATATCTTGTTTTCGTATTGCTCAGTTATCAGAAAACAAAGCCATTTTTATTGTGGTAAGTCAAATTTTGTTATCTCGCTAGTCAGCCTGATATAGATAATAATACAACATTATATGGCTTTGTTTTCGTATAATACAAAAACATATTGCTCTCGCTATTACGTTATTATATGTCACTCGTCTTTGACTTATCCAATATTTTCATAGCTCAAGCAATATATTCTTGTTTCCACTCTTGTTTCACACTCAAAGCCATCCAATATTATATAATTAAATATTGTGCACTAGTTATTGGCGATCAATGGGTGAAAAAGAATCAGTTTGTTAACGAAGTTTTCAGCAATTAGATTTTTTTTATTTTCTTCAATCCAAACACCTTTGTATGAATTCTATCTGCGATAGTTTGTATCGTCTTTTTGTTAATAATAATAATAATAGCTAGTTCTTCTATAGCGCTTTCCAGGACCGAAGGCCCTCTCAAAGCGCTTTACAGATATATATATTATTACCCCGGTCATAGGATACAGTCCTCTTGTGTAATTTCGAATATATCAACATTAATCATAAATGATACTTTTTGATAATGAAGATTTTAACTTAATTGTGGAAACCTACATGTATATTTCTTTCTAGAATCAGGTTAACATAATAATATTCTAAATGGTTGCAAAATGTGATAATAATTTTTCACAGAATCAAGTTTTGTATCGCGTGATATGCAATGAGGTTTGTTTTATTTGATTGATTTTATTTTTGCGTTCAAAAATATACAAATTCAAAGTCAGGGTACAAAATTTCGAACAATGACAAATACAATGAATAAAATGTTTACTAAAGTAATTAAATGAAAAATCATGTACAATTATATCATTCGATAAACATGTACGAAGCATACAATAAGATAATAAATATGAAATATTTTCAATAAATTAGAGAGGTAATTTAGAACGCAGGAGACCACCATCGTGAGCGATTAGGCTGGAGATGGGTGGCGGAGGTAGTTAGCATGTTCAGCCATTTCTGAACATTGTAAATTATTAATGATGCACAGTAAATTACTAATTAACCTATCTGTGTACATTTCATATTTGCATTAAATTTTCGAACTTTGGTCGTCCCGATCTTGTCTACATTTAGAATGAATTTCATTTATTTTGCACAGTTCAAGAAACTACTCAAGTCACATCTATTCTGCTAGAAATTACTTATTACCAGCCTACATATACTTTACTGATCTCTAAGAAGTGTCTTACTTCAGTTTTAAGTGGCCCACACATTGTGGAGCGTGTGTGCAGCGCTTTGTAACTGCAAGGAAAATGCGCTATATCAAATATCTTTTGGATTGGATTGGACAGTACTTGATTTGTTCTTGATTACAGTATTTGAACTACATGTATACACAAACTTTGTGATCGACATTTTGATTAAAACAAATTCACATATATATGTCTATTATTTTCCATCTGTTACATGTGTTAATTGCACGGAAAATGATTGCGAGTGAAAAAAATAAAAATTACACATTTCAGGGGATCATTTGAATTAAAATAAACCTCCTCTCTCTCTCTCTCTTTTTCTCTCTCTTTCTCTCTCTTTCTCTCTCTCTCTCTCTCGCACACATACAAACACGCACACACACACACACGCGCGCTCACACGCACACACGCACACACACACACACACACACACACACAAACACACACACTCTCTCTCTCTCGCTCTCTCTCCATCTAATAATTTGATTTGTTTCCTTTTCGTATTCAGTAACCAGCTCATCAAACATTGTGTATGAAGAGGGGGAGGAGAGAGAAGAAGTGAGAAAAAGGAGCCTCGAAGGGGTGAAACAGGGCGATAGGATAGAGGAAGTGATGGGGGAAAGAGAGTGGGGAAGAGAGAAGAGATATGGAAAGAGAGAGAGAGAGAGAGAGAGAGAGAGAAGAAGTGACAAAAAGCGAAGTATTCCAAGTTAAATGGTAAAAACATAGAAGTTTTTAAATAGACACACACATGCACTCGTACACATCTGCAAGAATCTTCAGCAGTGAAGGAGGCAGATTAGTTTGAAGAAGAGAAGAAGAAGAATCGTCGTCCCCCCCCCCCCCAGAAAATTTGAAAATTGCACACAATTTTTTGTTTTGTTGCAAATACTGACTAAAGACTGCAACACGCTTTTAGGCTCTGGAGGGCTCACGAATTCAGCGTTTAGACTAATACAAAAGGCAAAAATCTTGCTTATCAAGAAGCCAACGTGTTGACGTTTTACACTGTGTTTTGTTTGTATTTGTGGGGGCGGCTGCGTAACCTAGCCCCCGCTGCGTACAGTCATGATTCAGTGGCCAAGTAATTTCAAGTTTGAATTTTCAAGTTTATTTATTTCACTTTATCTAAAATAACATAATTGAACACAATGAACAATGGTAATTATTATAACTAAACATAGTTAGAAAACATAACGTACATGATAAGAGTTATAACAGAGAATACAATCATATAATTCAATAAATAAAGCGGGGGATCTACTTAAAAGCAAAGCTTGTATTGTGTAGGTTCCGGTTCATAGTTTATGTATAAATGAGGGTATCTGAATTAACATATTTACAAAAGCATATGATTACACGAGGGTTATCTTTAAGTGACACATTTTACTAAACATATGGCCTCGTTACCACAGGCGCAAGAAGTGGGTGGGGGCAGGGGGGCACTCGCCCCTCCCACCCCGACCAAAAAAAGTGGGAGGTGGGGCAAAACGTAGTTTCGCCCCCCCCCCCAAAAAAAGCACCAAAGGATTAAAGATGGTTTGTATTTCTTAAAGGTAATACAAAGTTTTGGGAATTCTTGAAGAGTGGGTGGATAGTGATTCTTTACAATTTTGATATATTTGGATGCCCCTGTGGATGTATTATAATCAATAGAAAATTAAGCACCTGAAACCTAAAATGTTGATAAATTTCAAATAGTGCCTAGCTGCGACCATGACAATTTCAGAATATGTAGTTGCGATATTTATTTATTTATTTATTTATTATAGTTTTATTTTAACAGGGTGGTCTCATTCAAGTTCATTTCTGAACCTGCTCTCTATAGTTTCCAAATGGAAATAGCTACCCGGTCGATTTTAGTCACGAAACATTGTTTTATAGTTTAATTGAAACTTGACCTTGAGAGGGAGCTATTCAACATAAAGAGTGTATTATTTACAATTTAATATCTTTAGACTCGATTTCAAACGCGACAACGATCACTGAATAATGTAGGATTGCATATGCTTTCGATATATTCATTTGAACCAAATGTATGACCCCATACCAAATCTTTGTATTACCTATAACCAAAAAGAACATAATTATATAACAAAACCTGAATAGAATCAGATACAAATTATATTCCATTCAAAGAAAAGGAAAGTTGACAGAAATTAGATTTCCTTATCATTCATAATGCCCCTATATATCAATGGAGGTTTTCAGGTGAAAGAATAGCACAAAATAAATGGAAAATTAAGCCTACGAAGTAACAATAAACGTTTACAATTTCCTCTTTTTTCTATTTCCCCTTCTCTTTAGATGAATATGACATACTTATTGAATAGAATGAGGAAGACAATGTAAAAGAAATTATTAAAAAACACCAAAGTCTCAAAGAATTTTTAGAAAATCTCCCAATTTCAATACCAAGTAATAACAATCGATTACAATTACATATTATGAAATACATGATCAATAATTTTAATTTTGTTTCTCTTTTTATTTTCTCTTCACTTTAGATAAAGAGAATACAAAAGAATATAGTGAGGAAGGCAAGGTAAAGAACGAACCCGAAACCTCAGAGACTTCTTTAACAATAAACGATTGCAATTACATATCACGAAAGTTCAATAGTTCAATTTATTTCTCCACAAATGCAAAACATAGGGAGCTACATAAAGTAAAATACATACATACAATACAATAATAGAACAGTTACGTTATATATGAAAGCGACTCCAGTTGGAGCAATGTATGTTTTAAAAATAAAAAAATCAGCAAATGTGGAAGGGGTAGTCAAAAATCAAAAATGATTGTCGAGGACTACCCCCAATAATACAAAAACAATTACATAATTAAAACTTAAAAGTAAATATACGGTAAACTGATTAGGTTGTACCAATAACGAGAAAGAAGAGGGAGAAAAATATCAAAGACAGGGGGAGGGGTGCATCTACCTATATGTGAATTTTGTAAAGGATGGGTTACTTATCAAGAATAATCTTAACTTAGCCTTAAAGTTGATACTCTAAGCAAATAAATGTCCCTTAATTTGTTACCTACGGCAAGTATATGTTATTTTTAAGTTTTTCAATTACTTAGTATATCACAAAAAAATTCTGTCTACTCGAAATCCTCAATTGAAATGTCTAAAATATCCGCCTCTCTTTGCATAGAAAATCAGTCACGACGCTGGTCTACTATTTATGACCTCACGTCCGGGAGAGAGTATATTCACGCACCCGGATGTTCCATAGCAAACATGTGCAGAGTGATACGATTTTCTGCATATTTTTGTTTCAAAGGCTGAAAAGTCTAATAAATCATAATTCTATGTACAATTCTTTACCTTCCCCTAGTACTTCATAGTATTAATATCAATTCCCCTTTTAAAAATTATGACATATACATGCCAACGATGTGCTATTAGTCGATATTTTCACCATGTAATTTTTGTTTTGGTGTTGAAATCGGCCCAGGCACGGAGTGAACAGTAGCTGTCTACCCATGCACAGTTCATTACCATACACTGCAGCGATCTCCCGATGGTTTCTTCTTCCTTTTTCCCATGTCTTTCGCCTTCCTTGGCCATGAACATCCTTCATCTACCAATTCTGACACCGGTAGTCAGGAGCAAGTCTTTGTTAGTTGTTTTTCTTAGCTGGCAACGTCACTTTCATTCTCTTGCAATTGCCGATAAACATATAACTAGCGCACGTACGTTCCATCACAAGCAAGCAGCGCCTAGAGCAGCGGCTTGGTCTTACCTCCCGATTCTGCTCGCTCCACGAACGTTCATGCAAGAGCCGCATCACTCGCCAAAATATTATAGAGGAAGCGCGCTTGCATGATCTCGTTCAAGTTTGATATTTTACAACATAAAATGTTTAACTGGTACTGTATCCTTTTTTGAGGCAGTCACACACATCTATGATAAGTACTATCATAGTTCTAGACCTATTCGTTTTACAAAACTGCTCATGTACATCTGATGACAATAATTTATAATGCATCCGCCTATTCATAAGTGCACGATTTAACTTTAATTCCTAAGCAGTACTCGTCTTAAATCTCTACCAAATAGGTGAAAATGAGGATATAAAAAGAAATCAGCGACTGGAAAATGTTGCTTCGTTATTCTTCATTCAAATGAAAACAGAAAATCCATCAAATATACTCCTTAACAACAACAAATCTAAGCTCTGACAGGATAGCATTTACGTAGGGATATCACTGCCATTCACTCTCACTGAGCCCACGACTCCCGTTCGTGACGTCACGGATAGAGGCCCGACTCTACGTGCACTTCCGGGTTTCAGACTTAGATATTTTGGTAGAGTTTACTCGAATAAATTCATTATTCTAAACTTGTTTTGTCGGGTGGACACCATTTGGTGTTATTATGGGGGTTAAAAACTTTCTATTTATGTAATTGTCTCAGTATTTGTGATTGTCTTAGAGTATCAGCTTTAAATAAATACAATGAAGAACAATTTTTGATGTCAGGTGGAAGACGACTCCATAACAAAGGTCCATTGAAGGTTATCCGTTTTTGTAAAAAAAAAAAAAAAGTCGTAGCTATGGGTATAAGGAAACTACTTGCATTTCTTGTAGCATATGAATGAATAGAAGAGTTCAATACATTTTAATTGTATCTCTATTTTTATTTGTATTTCACTTTAGCTGAAGATAAGAATCATCCACGTAACCACGGCGACAACATAAACAACAACCCCGACAATCAATCCCCAGTTGAACCATTTCTTGGCTGAGAGAGACGCTGCATTGGCCGCATCGTAGTTGCCTTGAATATAGAAACTATCAACCTAGACAATAGGAATGATAATGATAATAATATTGATAATAATAATAGTAATAATGAGAATAGTGATAATAATGCTAATAATCATAATAATCATGATAATAGTAGTAATACAAATAATGATAACAATGATGATAATACAAATAATAATACTTAAACTGATAATTACAATAATAATATTGATAACAACAACAATAAAAAAATGATAATTGAATAACTATAATGATTGTAATAACAACAATAACAATACCAATAATAGAATAACTAATAAAAATAATGATAACAATAATAAGAATGATAATAACGATAAAAATAATATTAATGATACGAATGATAATAACGATTATAATAGTTTGGCAATTGTGCTATTACTTAAACCCCATCAATTGCCAAGTACCCATTACCACCTTTGTGGAGAGTGACAAATGTCGATTTAATATCTTGCCAAAGTATAGTGCCAGGCTAGGATCCCACACCTTCTTTTCGATATCAGGGCTCGAATTACCCACCGGCAATCGGCAATTTGCCGCAATGCCCCTCTCACTGGCCGGAATGCCCTTTTCAAAATCAAACCGTTTACGGCCACAATATTTTAATCCACAAAAGTTTTGCCGACATTATAGTCATCGTAAGCCAACCCGACTTGTAATGTTAAAAAAGGTTTTGTTGCCCATACGGAGCTCTAAAAACAATGATAGTCGGCAAGGTTTTGTTGCCCCTCCGGAGCTCCAAAAACAATGATAGTCGGCAAGGTTTTGTTGCCCCTCCGGAGCTCTAAAAACAATAATTATCGGAAGGTTATGTTGCCCATACGGAGCTCCAAAAACAATAATTATCGGAAGGTTTTGTTGCCCATACGGAGCTCCAAAAACAATGATAGTCGGCAAGGTTTTGTTGCCCCTCCGGAGCTCCAAAAACAATAATAGTCGGCAAGGTTTTATTGCCCCTCCGGAGCTCTAAAAACAATGATAGTCGGCAAGGTTTTGTTGCCCCTCCGGAGCTCCAAAAACAATGATAATCGGCAAGGTTTTGTTGCCCCTCCGGAGCTCCAAAAACCATTATAGTCGGCAAGGTTTTGTTGCCCCTCCGGAGCTCTAAAAACAATGATAGTCGGCAAGGTTTTGTTGCCCCTACGGAGCTCCAAAAAACAATAATAATCGGCAAGGTTTTGTTGCCCCTCCGGAGCTCTAAAAACAATAATTATCGGAAGGTTTTGTTGCCCCTCCGGAGCTCTAAAAACAATTATAGTCGGCAAGGTTTTGTTGCCCCTACGGAGCTCCAAAAACAATAATAATCGGCAAGGTTTTGTTGCCCCTCCGGAGCTCTAAAAACAAAAATTATCGGCAAGGTTTTGTTGCCCCTCCGGAGCTCCAAAAACAATGATAATCGGCAAGGTTTTGTTGCCCCTCCGGAGCTCCAAAAACCATTATAGTCGGCAAGGTTTTGTTGCCCCTCCGGAGCTCTAAAAACAATGATAGTCGGCAAGGTTTTGTTGCCCCTACGGAGCTCCAAAAAACAATAATAATCGGCAAGGTTTTGTTGCCCCTCCGGAGCTCTAAAAACAATAATTATCGGAAGGTTTTGTTGCCCCTCCGGAGCTCTAAAAACAATTATAGTCGGCAAGGTTTTGTTGCCCCTACGGAGCTCCAAAAACAATAATAATCGGCAAGGTTTTGTTGCCCCTCCGGAGCTCTAAAAACAAAAATTATCGGCAAGGTTTTGTTGCCCCTCCGGAGCTCTAAAAACAATGATAGTCGGCAAGGTTTTGTTGCCCCTACGGAGCTCCAAAAACAATAATAATCGGCAAGGTTTTGTTGCCCCTCCGGAGCTCTAAAAACAATAATAATCTGCAAGGTTTTGTTGCCCCTCCGGAGCTCTAAAAACAATGATAGTCGGCAAGGTTTTGTTGCCCCTACGGAGCTCCAAAAACAATAATAATCTGCAAGGTTTTGTTGCCCCTCCGGAGCTCTAAAAACAATGATAGTCGGCAAGGTTTTGTTGCCCCTACGGAGCTCCAAAAACAATAATAATCGGCAAGGTTTTGTTGCCCCTCCGGAGCTCTAAAAACAATAATTATCGGAAGGTTTTGTTGCCCCACCGGAGTTCTAAAAACAATTATAGTCGGCAAGGTTTTGTTGCCCCTACGGAGCTCCAAAAACAATAATAATCGGCAAGGTTTTGTTGCCCCTCCGGAGCTCTAAAAACAATAATTATCGGAAGGTTATGTTGCCCCTCCGGAGCTCTAAAAACAATAATAGTCGGCAAGGTTTTGTTGCCCCTCCGGAGCTCTAAAAAAACAATAATTATCGGAAGGTTTTGTTGCTCCTTCGGAGCTCTAAAAACAATAATAGTCGGCAAGGTTTTGTTGCCCATACGGAGCTCTAAAAACAATAATTACCGGAAGGTTTTGTTGCCCCTACGGAGCTCTAAAAACAATAATAGTCGGCAAGGTTTTGTTGCCCCTTTCGGAGCTCTAAAAACAATAATAGTCGGCAAGGTTTTGTTGCCCCTCCGGAGCTCTAAAAACAATAATTACCGGAAGGTTTTGTTGCCCCTACGGAGCTCTAAAAACAATAATAGTCGGCAAGGTTTTGTTGCCCCTCCGGAGCTCTAAAAACAATAATAGTCGGCAAGGTTTTGTTGCCCCTCCGGAGCTCTAAAAACAATAATTACCGGAAGGTTTTGTTGCCCCTAAGGAGCTCTAAAAACAATAATAGTCGGCAAGGTTTTGTTGCCCCTCCGGAGCTCTAAAAACAATAATTACCGGAAGGTTTTGTTGGCCCTACGGAGCTCTAAAAACAATAATAGTCGGCAAGGTTTTGTTGCCCCTCCGGAGCTCTAAAAACAATAATTACCGGAAGGTTTTGTTGCCCCTCCGGAGCTCTAAAAACAATAATAGTCGGCAAGGTTTTGTTGCCCCTCCGGAGCTCTAAAAACAATAATTACCGGAAGGTTTTGTTGCCCCTACGGAGCTCTAAAAACAATAATAGTCGGCAAGGTTTTGGCGCCCCTCCGGAGCTCTAAAAACAATATTTATCGGCAAGGTTTTGTTTCCCCTCCAGAGCTTTAAAAACAATAATTACCGGAAGGTTTTGTTGCCCATACGGAGCTCTAAAAAAAATGATAGTCGGCAAGGTTTTGTTGCCCCTCCGGAGCTCTAAAAACAATAATTATCGGAAGGTTTTGTTGCCCATACGGAGCTCCAAAAACAATAATTACCGGAAGGTTTTGTTGCCCCTACGGAGCTCTAAAAACAATAATAGTCGGCAAGGTTTTGGCGCCCCTCCGGAGCTCTAAAACAATGATAATCGGCAAGACTTTGTTGCCCCTACGGAGATCTAAAAACAATAATTATTGGCGAGACTTAATTGCCACTATGGAACTCCTAAATTAATTGGCGGGACTTAATTGCCGATACGGAGATATGAAAGAATGTCATCCAAATGACTGAAACGTTTGGCACAAAAACCGTAATGACTAAGGCTTAGTTTTTCAATCCATCCTTTTTATTTGGACCAATCAATATCGGGAAGTTTTGTTTACCCATCGTTGGTTTAACATCTTCACTTCGCGTTGTGACCTTTTTTGGTGCGTTTTCACAGTTTTTAATCAGTGAAAAACTTGGATTTTTCTCGGGAGGAGGGTCTGGAATTAAATCAGAAAAGGATTAAGAGTCGAGATAATGGTACAAAGAATCGTCTTCTTTCCCATACGTTTTAATTAAAACGTCATAGCTTCCGCCCATCGCGCGGGAGGGGTGTGAATTGAGTTCAGAAAAGGATTAATACCGGTAGTCGAGACGAATCGTCTTCTTTCCCTAATAATTTATTAAAAACGTCTAAGCTTCCGCGCTTCCCTTGGAATTCAGAAAAGGAAAAAGAGTCAAGAACGGTACAACGAATCGTCTTCTTTCTCTAATAATTCAATGAAACGTCAAAGGGGGAAACTCCCCACTCCCTCCAGCTCCCCCCCCCCCCCCAATTTTTTTTTGAAAAGCATTTTAAAGAGAAATAGAAAGAAAGAGAGCAAGAAAGAAAAAATAGTTAACTACCAGTTTCTCAACAAAATAAGGTATCAAAAATTGCTCATCTGACATTAATTAAACGCCTAAAACCACTGAGCTTCCGTGGGCTGTGGGCTCTGCCCCCGGGACCCAACCAAGGGCCCCTTGATACTCGTCTGACTGCAATTTAGTGCCTAAAACCCTTGATCTTCTGGGGGCTCCGCCCGCTGGACCTCACGCCAATCAGTGTCCTGCCAGTGTCACAAATAAAGTATAACAATATGTTCATCTGACCGTAATCAAATAGCTGAAACCCCTGAAATTCAGGGGTTTCTGCACCCTCGACTCCACCAGGGGCCCTGAGGCGGGCCCCTGAATGCTTATCTGACCGTACTTTGCCTTCAACCCATGAGTTTCCGGGGGCGGACAAGGTATCAAAAGATGTTCATCTGACCGCAGGCACGAAGCCGGGGGGGGGGGGCAGTGGGGGCGCCCCCCCAAAAAAAAGCCAAAAAAAGAGAGGAGAGAAAGGGAAGAGGACGTATGAAGAAAAAGGAGCAGACAAAAAACATTTTTGAAATTCAGACAAGGATTAAGAGTCGAGAACGGTACAACGAATCGTCTTCTTTCTCTAATGATTTAATGAAACGTAAAAGCTTCCGCGCTTTGCGCGGGAGGGGGAAACTGTATTCATGCAGACGAGGATTATTTTCGAGAACGGTACAACGAATCGTCTTGTTTCTCTAATAATTAAATTAAATGTCAAAGCTTTTGCGCTTCGATCGCGCAGGAGGTGGGGTAACTGAATTTAGACAAGGATTAAGAGTCGAGAACGGTACAACGAATCGTCTTCTTTCTCTAATGATTTAATAAAACGTAAAAGCTTTCGCGCTTCGCAAGTGCGGATTGGGGCGGGGGGGAACTGAATTCAGACAAGGATTAAGAGTCGAGAGCGGTACAATGAATCGTCTTCTTTTTCTAATGATTTAATGAAATGTAAAAGCTTCTGTGCTTCGCGCGTGCGGATTGGGGCGGGGGGGGAACTGAATTCAGACGAGAATTAAGAGTCGAGAACGGTACAACGAATCGTCTTCTTTCTCTAGTGATTTAATGAAACGTAAAAGCTTCCAAGCTTTGCGCGGGAGGGGGGGGGTGAATTTAGACGAGGATTAAGAGTAAAAAACGGTACAACGAATCCTCTTCTTTCTCTAATGATTTAATGAAACGTACATGTAAAAGCTTCCGCGCTTTGCGCGGAAAGAGGGGGAACTGTATTCAGACGAGCAGGCACGTACGCAGGTGGGGGGGGAGGGGGTTTGGGGCGTTGAACCCCCCCGCCCTTCGGTTTTTTTTTATGTCTGTATTTTGGAGCAACCCCCCCCCCCCCTTTTTTGTGATGTTTTTTTTTTTTTTTAAATGAAACACACACACACAAAAAAATTATGCCAATGGCTGATCCAAAAAAGGTGACCCCCCCCCCCCCCCACCCCAACGGGAACAAAATGTCAAATTTTCAAATTTCGAGACCAAAAAACAAAAAAAGTGTCCTCTTACCCCCCCCCCCCCCCCCCCCCGCTTATTCAGCGGCTGGCTGAGTCGTTGCGATTTTTTTTTGGGACAAAAAAAAAAAAGTGGGCCCCCCCCCCCAAGAAATCCTGGATCCGCCCCTGGGTGCACATATCCCCCCACCTTGAAAACAACGGCGTGAGGTGATTTTACGCGCACTTTCCACGTTGGCCTTAGTGCCCCTTAGGATAGATTTGTGCCCCTTTCAGTGGATTTGTGCCCTCTCAAAAAAGTGGCCTTGACCCAAATTTGATGTAATTCGAGGCCTGCGATATGTACCTATGATTATGTTATGTTCCTTTGTTCGATTTTAATATTGAATAAAGTGATGATATGATGTAATGCTTACCTACTACGTCAGTGTCTAGACATTGTACAGTATCAATAATGCAAACAAATTACTAATTAATCTATCTGTGTAAATGAAAAATTGTATTTGCATAATCTGTTCGAACTTTGGTCATTCTCATCATGTTTATATTTAGAAAATATTTCAGGAAAAAACGGTGTGTTTGGAAGCAATGGTTTCTAGAACGATTTCTTAACCCGGTAATGGTAAGACTCCAATGATCAGACCCCCCCCCCCCCCCCCCCATTTGCCTACATTGTTTTAAATGTAATATTATTTTTTTTAAATGGGAATTATTCCTGATAAGCTACTTGGGCTTCTGCTTTTCCCCCATCCAAAAACTAGTTGTCCATGTTTACTCATAATTTCTCCCTCGTGTCTAGTTTTTGTTTTGTATATCTGCTTCTTCGTTCGTGTATTCCTTTAAGAAGATATGTACATTTTTTATAATTTGCATATTTTTTTTTACTTGAATGTTTAAATGAAAGAAATGAAAAGTCGGGTCAATGATTTTGGCGAGTAATGAAGGGGGACGGGGGAGAGGGGTGTCAGGTTTGAAAGACACGAGTTCTGTATAATTAACTCATATCCTGCCATAATCTTGCAAGCACGCTACCGTTAAAATGCTCTGTACACGCGAGCAAGCTACCGCTTCGCTGCTTCTTGCATGTTTGCAAGCATTCGTATAATAGCAGTTTTGTTCATGCCCATTGTACTGTGCCTAATGTTTCGCACGTGCTATTGAAAGTACCATCGCGTTAATCCGATTATCTCAAAATAAACTTGGCACTGGAGGGATTTGTGGCTTGGCACAATGGGGATTAGCCCTGTGGTAGGATAATAGTTCATGTGACATGATTTTACCTGTGAGCCTTTCACGACACCGATGATCCCAAAGATACAGCAACAGAAGAGTAGCATCAGGACGTTATGGATGATGAAACTCTGTGGCCTTGGAGGCGCTAAGCCTTGTCGTGTGATCATTGTAGTGACAGGTACCTGGAAAGAGAAAAGAGAGGGGTAGATTGTGTTGGATTGGATTAGATTGGATTCGATTGGATATATTTTCTTCTGCATTATACAGTCCGTATGAAAAAAGGGTACCCATAAACATGCTTCAAAAAGAATAAATGCTTTGATTTGTTATCCAGTAACCTCACCTTGACCTCATACTAAAGTCAAAGACGTGAATCAAGCATTCGATTCCTGGGACCCGTTTCACAAAACCTTTTTTTTTTCAACGTCAAATGACAAAATTCAGCGACAAATCTGCTGATAATCAATCAGGAGCTAGGATTTCAGTAGCTTATAACAAAAACTGTCATTTGTCACCGGTGACAAGTTTCGTGATCACCCCCAGGTATCAATTTGAAAAATAACTTTATTTTTGTTTGTATACGTCTTATAATAAGATTTAACTTTTTATTGTGTAATAAAATATATAATTCTTACTGCATATTTATATTCAAATCAAAGTAACATTCATTTCTTTACAGCTACCCCCCCCCCCGCGTAACTATGTTAAGGGTGGAATTCGTTTTCACTGGCTGCCTGCTGTAGCAACAAACATAGTTGATAAAAGACTTAACTCCGTTTCGTTGACGATCAGCCATGCATTAAGTCTTTCGTCTTGTGTGTGCATGACGTATCATCAACGAAACGGAGTCAAGTCTTTTGTGAACCCTGTTTGTTGCTATGGCAGGCAGCCAGTGAAAATGAATTCGTTTAATCAAATTATGAAAATGCAAGCACTTCTTTAAACGAACAGAACTTTGTTATTTCTAGCTCATTTATGCTGATTGAGGTGTCATATGAAAGGGCAGAAAATAAACTTTCTAGAAATGTGACTTTCTCTTTGAAATTTAGATTCTGTCCGCCAAATGACTTTTTGGTTTCCTCTCTTCAAATTGCTTTCAATAACTCATGCGTGAATTTTGCATCATATGAGTTGCATCAAATGAAAGAAGAGGATATAGGCTTTAAAAATATGTGTCAATTATTAATTATAACTGTGATTAAGTTATAATAAAACATCGATAATTCTCCCTTTTTTCTGGGACGCACTGTAAAGTGTTTTTACCCTCATTTCTATCATTTCCCGGGCATTAGCCAAGCGGCCCTAAACAAACAAAAAAAAAAAAACTTATAACACAAAAATAAACAAAAGATAAATAACTATAGGCCTATATATTTGATATGAAGAAACTGCTTCAACTTCTTTTGAAAGAATTAACAGACTTGCATTCAAAGACATCTTTAGGGATGGAGTTCCAAATCACAGGGAAGTTATGTCGTACTGATTTCATTACCTTATTTGTTTTTACTGGCCATAAGTAAAAAAATTAAAAAAAATAAATAAATAAATAAATAAAAAAAAAAGCCTTAAAACAGGTATTGTGATTATGTATCTGGTAAAAAAGACTGAACATCTAAAAAATATTACAGGTAATTTATTTTGAAAGTAAAAGGAGGGCAATGGAGTAATAGCACAAATCAAAATGATTAAGAAATTTCAATTTTTTGAAACAATGGGGCAGAATGGGCACGATATTGACATTCCAGGCTTATGCGAAGGGCTTTCTTTTGGTGCAATTTAACCCATTGCTTACTGGAACGTGGTGGACCCTGTGTTAAGTCTATGGGAATTAGATAATTCAGTAGTCAACGGGTTAAAGTATGAAGATGTCTACTTACGCCAACAGTCATTGGTTGGACCATTGGAGCAGGATTATATGCCGGAGGAGCACTTCCATCCATCGGGGCGGTGGGCCCGGCGGGGTACCCTGCGTTGTTGTATGCTGCGTTGCCGTATGCCGCGTTGCCGTATGCCGCGTCGCCGTATGCCACATTGGTAGACGGGTCGTATGTCGGGTTGGTAGGCGGGACGTACGTCCCATTGGTCCCATTGGTAGATGGGTCGTATGGGTTAACTTTGGTTTCTACATTGGTCCCATCGGTAGATGGGTCGTATGGGTTAACTTTGGTTTCTACATATCAGATAGAAGGGAGAGGAGAGGAACAGAGAGAGAAAGGGGGTGCATAGTGAGAGTGGTAGAAATAGAGGGAGAGTGGGCAAGGGGGGGTCGGGTGAGAGGGGCAGATATGGAGGGAGGGAGGAAGAGCAATAGAGAGAAAAGAGAGAGATAGAGAAGGAGAGGTATAGGGAGAGATTGAGAAAGAGGGAGAGAAAGAGAGAGAGAGAGAGATAAGAGAAAAGGGGTGGCGGAGTAGAAGGATGACAGAAAAAAATAAGACGTTCGTTAAATTTATATTAAACTGTTTGTAGATATTATGTAGAGATTTCCCTCCAATATAAAACCATAAAAAAATATTTAAAATATATTAACAAATCAGCACCTTTGAAATACCTTATTAAAATCTTTGCATTATTTTTGTACAACTTGTATTATTCTATGTATTTTTAAAGATTGCTTGCAAAGAGTGAACAATTCAACCATTGGTTGCCACTCCATTTTGCAATGTACCATCAATTCATTTTAAAAAAGGAAAATAAATGACATTAAATTAAATTTTGTCGATTGATATCCAGGGTTCTTATACGTATAAAAACTACACCTCCAAATACCAAGTGAATTAAGTGAATTTAACAGTACAATAATGATTCGTGATATTAATCTGATAATAATTCGATTGGCTTAGTTGGGGCTCTCTTCATAGGGACTATAGCCGTGTGACCAGCTATTAATATTTATCTGTTGATTCCTGAACTGACAATGGTTCCGATTGCACAATATATACCAAGAAAAAGAAAAGTTAATACAGATGTGTAATAAGAATAATGATAACGTTTTACTTATATAGCGCTTTTCGTATGAGATTCATATCAAAGCGCTTTACAATATTGTTGCAAGTAAAACTAAACAGAGTAATGGCAAGAGAACAAGCTTAAAGTGATATTATACAAACAAACGATAACAAGGTAAGGTTACAATTTAAGAACTAGGTTCAGGTTGAATATGCCTTTTCCATTAGATAGGTTTTTAATTTTGATCTAGACAAAGTATAATAATAATACATGATGCTAATCTGAAATGATCAAGACACTTCACACAATATATAGCTTACCTTCCATTGCGTTCACTTCTTCAGTTCTTGTCTAGTCTTTGTACACAAATGTAAGCTAGCCTAAGTCTAGAGGTATTGAGATAGGTCCAAATCCACCAAACTGTTCACTTGAAGTAATATTTATATAAAGTATTTTAAAGATGACACCGTTTGTTTTCCAGTCTCCGGTTTTAATCTTTACGCGCCTGGCGAACGTGTCCTTCACCGAGTTAATGTCCTCTGTTTGATGGTACTGCGCTCTTTATACACTATACCGACGAGTATCATGAGAGAAACGTCATAATTAATATTCTTATCTAATTGACGTTCTTGCGTCTCACCCAAAATAAAACAATGCTATCTTATCGGTGCACTTGACATTGGAACAACCATAAACGCCTGCATCGTAATCACCTATGACGTAGAATTCATATTTCTAGGTGAGGCTGGAACGGATTGAATGGTTGACATCATAAGCGCCGGGAGTGTGGGGGGGGGGGGGCAGGCGGGCACTCACCCCAACCGAAAAAAACGCCCCGCTAAAAAAAGAGGGTTTGCATTTTTCAAACAAAAGAACATACAAACAATAAAAACTGAATTGAATCACATATAAATTATATTCTATTCAAAGAAAAGAACGGTTAACAGGATTTAAATTTCCTATACATTCCGCATGGCCCCATTCATCAATGGAGGTTTTTATAATAGCGATACGCGCATATCTTAGAAATATTGTGAGATGATGGGAAATCGTGTGTTTTTTATCATAGAGGTGAGCAGACATGAGCCCCTGAAGACTGGCGCTCTCATAAGGGAGAGTGGTTGGGAGGGGGGGGGTATTTCTAATTTGATACCAGTGATTTACTAATGTTGCTGAAATGACATGATTTTCCGGTATTTTGGGGTAAACCGTACCTTTTTATGCGTTTGTTGGAAAATTACAAATTCCCAAATTTACAGTCGGGCGAAAAATATGCTTATTTAGAAGCCTTCATGTCAAGGCATGCAGAACGTCGGGGCTCGGGGAGTCAAGCCTCCGCCCCCCTCCCCTCACGATTTTGAAAAAGTATGTTAAATAGACAAAGAAAGAATCAAAGAAAACAAAACGAGTGACCCGCCAATGTCACAAAGGTGGTATTGAAATATGCTAATCTGGCCGTAATTAAATGCCTAAAACCCTATTTTACGGGGGCTCTGCCTCCTGAACTCCACCTAAGGCCCCTGGGCGGGCCCGTGGATGCTCATCTGACCGTAATTAAATACCTAAAACCCCTGAGCTTCCGGGGGGCTCTGCCTCCTGGACCCCCCGCCATTTAGTGACCTGCCAGTATCACAAATAAGCTATCTAAATATGCTTATCTGACGGTATTTTAATGCCTAAAAACCCTGATTTTCGGGGGCGAAGCCACTGGACCCTACACCAATTTTCGCTCTTCACACTCTACCTGATCATTAAATACTCCACTTTGAAAACGTTCCGTGTGGCCTGCATGTAACACGAAAGAGTTGTGGTGATGCAGGTTTTTCTTCTACCCCCTTCCCCCCCCCCCCCCCAAAAGAAGGAGTTTTTACTCATTTAATACGCCACTGCCCCTGTAAGAAGATCCCTCTTTAATGTTTGCCCCCCCCCCCCATCCCAAACTGCTTCACGCACGCCTGGTTGACATTGTTGTTTTCGTTGTTGTTGTTGTTGTGAGATGCTTACCTCTACGTATGTAGTCCCCATGTATTAGCGAGAGATGGAAACAATGTTGTTTTATACTTGTCACACTAATACATCGTAATGATCATTTTACAGTGTTCATATATAACGCAATCATCATTTCATAGTGTTGCAGCTGTTTACCTATTTCAATGTTTTCGCAAGGGCACATAATAAAAGGGGTATCGATATTTGTTTTTGTTAGGGCCAGGTGTCCCCCGGTTACATGTTAAGTAATAACGATCTACAATGACTAGTTTGAGTTGATTGACAGATCTAGAGAGAGAGAGAGAGAGAGATCAACTACTCAATTCTGCTTTTTTCACCTCCTAAGATTACTCCTTCACTCTACTGCCTGCCAACCATCCTGTAATGAATAAATAATTCTATTTGTTCCAGAGAACCCTCATTAGTTTCAATATTGTTTTTCCTGAGGGCCCTGCAAGTATTACTTCCCTAATAATTGACTGGAACCCATTTACACCTGGGTGGAGAGTGGCAAATGTGGATTATTGTTTTTAACCTGGACTGTGATTCGAACCCTAAACCCTTTGATTAAGAGTGAAATGAATGAACACTATACCACCACACCTCCACCAAGCGCGTAGCTAGGATATTATTTTAAAGGAGCGGTAGTGAGCACGCAAAGCGTGTGAATCACTTACAGAGCGCACGGTGGGTGCAAGGAGGGGGGGGGGTCCCTTCCTTGCAAAGCGCGGAAACTTTGACGTGTCATTTAATTTCGGAGTAGGAAGACGATTCGTTGTACCGTTCGCGCCTCTTAAAGGTGTAGACCAGTTTGGGAAACGCCCCCCTCTACAAAAATGGAATGGAAGCCCATATTTACCAATCATGTAAAAGAATATGTTTTGACTAATACGTAATGATACAAAATTTGCCTGGATATATATCGCAAATGCACTTCAACATTGAACATTTGGACATATCTGTCTGCTTTATTGGGAATTTAGGTTGAGGTATTGCCATCTTAACCTTTGAAGCAAATATTCACACATTATAGAATTGATATTTTTCACCCAAAACCCTTAAACCGCAATTTTACCACTACCGGTCTTTACATTTAATCCTTGTCTGAATTCAGTTTCCCCCTTCCCGTGCGAAGTGCGGAAGCCTGACTACGTTTCATTAAATTATTAGAGTAAGAAGACGCTTCGCTGCACCGTTCTCGACTCTAAATCCTTGTCGGAATTCAGTTTCCCCCTTCCCGTGCGAGGTGCGGAAGCCTGACTACGTTTCATTAAATTATTAGAGTAAGAAGACGCTTCGCTGTACCGTTCTCGTCTCTTAATCCTTAATTTGAGCGTTCAAAAATGCTTCTTTGTCTGTTCTTTTTTTCTTCCCCTTTTTTTCTGTTCTCTCTCTCTCTCTCTCTCTCTCCTTTTATTTTGCGCGGCGTTTTTTTTTTTTTTTTTTTTGGGGGGGGGGGGGGGGGAGGGGGACCACACCCACCGCCCCCCTAACTACGCGCCTGATCTCCACGTTATCATTACACTGTGGACATACTAATACTGGATACGTATATGGCACGCACAGATATTCCACGTATAAAGATAATTCATTACAATGACACGACAGTTATGTTAATTTCTATATGGTGCGTAGGTCGGTCACTAATTATGCATTGTTTTCATACGTTGTTAATAATTTACAATGCTTACAAAGGTTAATTTTTACACCTTGTAACCTAGTTTTTTTCTTCAATTGTTTATGATTTAAAAACACAAACACGGTATATTGACTCCTGCCAATACAGTTAGAATAGTTTCTTTGCATATTTTTTTTATGGAACGATTCTAACAATAAGGCATCATATTGATATTTAAATCTTCTCGGAACTTTATTGATTAATCTAAAGAATCATAGAGATTGATCAAGAAAATTCGGAAAAGATTTGTACATTATCATACCTAAGAATACGCTATCTAAAAGAGGTGAGGAAATATGTTCCAAGTTTATGGACAAAATATACTATAGAATTTGTTCGTATATATTTTTCTTTTAACCATAACAATATAAGTTTCCAAAAAGATCGTACTTTTTCACAATTTAGAAAGAAATGTACTAACGTTTGTCATGATTTTCACCAAACGAACACGTTGTAGAAATATTTACACCCAATTTAAAAAGGAAAATTTGTGTTGCAATTTTTCTATGAATAGGTTAAAATTGGAAATTTCTCGTTTTGTTATTCATTTATTCTGTTGATTAGTTTTAGAGATATTTGTTGAAAATTCTATTCAAGAACATATTACATTCAAATCTAAGATTGCAGAACTGTAGCGCATGCCCCCCCCCCCTCATCTTGTTATGATTACTTTTTTATTTTTTATTTTTTTCTCTTGACAATTTATTTACTGTAGTTCAGATATGTATTTATAATATTTTGTTTTGTTTATGTAATTGTTCCGGACCCTACGGAAGACCAGCTTTCCCATGTCGGTTAAGCTGAATTGTGGGCAATCCACCGTATCTCATGCATTGATATGATGTTTCTATACGAAAATAAATACTACTTCTACTACTACTAGTCGGGGTTCTTTGATAATTGTGTCCTGCTCTGCACATTGTTTTGTTACACGAATAACAAATTTGAAAGAATGCAAATGAATCCGAGAGACAATTTGGCATGGCGATCGCAACTACCAGAAATGGTATTACTCTTAACTGATTCATTCTTTTGCTCATATTTCTTTTTATCTCATGTTATGAATTAATCTATTCCGTCTTCCCAAGATCTATACTTCCCCCTTCAGTATAGTATTACATTCTCTCTTTTTTCTTCTTCTCCATCTCATGATGACATCTGTCATGTCTGTGATCTCGCTTTCATTCACCTTATTAAATTCAGCCCCTACTTTGAACAATTAAATACCCCTCTCTCTCTCTCTCTCTTTCTCTCTCGTATACCCCTTTCTCTTTTTCTCTTTCTCTCTTTCTCTTTCTTAAACCTCTCTCTCTCTCTCTTATACCTCTCTCTCTCTCTCTCTTTCTCTCTCCCTCTCTCTCTCTCTTTTTTTTTCTCTCTCTCTCTCTTCCTTTCTCTCTCTCTCTCTTTCTCTCTCTTATACCCCCCTCTCTCTCTCTCTTATACCTCTCTCTCTCTCCCTCTTTCCCTTTTTGTCTCTCTTTCTTTCTCTCTCTCTCTCTCTCTCTTATACCTCTCTCTGTCTCTCTCTCTCTCTTTCTCTCTCCTATACCCCCTCTCCCCCTCTCCCCCTCTCTCTCTCTCTCTTTCTCTCTCTTATACCCCTCTCTCTCTCCCTTTCTCTCTCTCTCTCTCTTTCTCTCTCTTATACCTCTCTCTCTTCTCTCTCTCTCTTTCTCTCTCCTATACCCCCTCTCTCTCTCTCTTTCTCTCTCTTATACCCCCTTCTCTCTCTCTCTCTCTCTCTCCCTTTCTCTCTTTCTTATACCTCTCTCTCTCTCTTTATCTCTCTATCGACCCAAAACAATACCATTCTTGCAC